GCGAAGACGACAACATTCTTGAAGAAAACTATAACATTTTCTTCAAAATATCAAACTTAATGTAAATATTTTGAAATTACGAAGAAGCTGTTAAGAATATGTATGTAATATTAAGATTTCAATTGTGAACATTTTCTCTTTGTGTACATTGTAAAACATAAACAAAACAAAATGTTAGCGGATTTTAAAAAAAATTTGCGGATTTTCCAAAATTTAATGACATTCGAATATTGTTGGAGACTAACTTTTGAAATTTTGATCATTCGGAAACATTCTCTAGGACCTGTGAAGTCCCACAAAAAATATGTGCCTGATCGGTTCAACCGAATTGGCGTTTATTGGATAAAAACAAACAAGCAAAAAAAAAACAGAAAAGCAAAGTATTTATAAATATGTCAATGGTCGATATCAATTGTTATGTGAATTGTATATTGTAAGTTGTAACATACTTAATGAAAATCTTTAAAATCAAATTAATGTAAACCCAACACAATTTTTATTTTTAAAAATCTGTCGATTTTAACATTTCTTTGTACTTACCCCCTTTCAGTAATCTTTTTCTACTAAATTGAATTTAAAGGGACTGTACGCGTGATTTTAAGTGATCCTTCAAGCAAAAATTGTAATGATGGCCCACTTTTCAAACACCCGGCCCACTTTTCAAACACTCCCGGCTTACTTTTCAAACACCCCCGGCCCACTTATTAAACAACCGGCCCACTGTTGGTTCAGCCATTTTGAAGTGTCTAAGATCCAAGCAAACTAACTACCAAAGACAGATATAAAAAGTCGATTAGGATGAAATATATTGTTGTAATTTCAGAAGACACTTCATTTGAAGAGGTGAACACCCGATTCACAACGGTACCCTTCTAATCTATATCTGATAGATAATGCGGAGTATATTATTATTTTTCTGAACAGTTAATTATGTCCATTTTCTCCATTGTTTCTGCATCAGAAATTGGAAAAAACTTTAAATGTAAATTTTAAAGTAAAAAAGTAAAAGAGACAAACCAAAGTTAAAACAATCAATTTTCAAAAACAAACTTTCAAATATCTCATTTATTATTGATCCGACAAGATTTATTGAGGGTGTCATTGTGCATCGGTCACTTTATAAATGGAGGATTTACAGTTTCTTTAATTTTAATAATAGATTCAGTATCAGCCTGGACATGTTTGGCTCTTGTCAGTTCAGCGTGGCGTCCATTCCTTGATCCGAGAGTGAACCAAGTAAACACATCATCATCTTCTAATCTCCTTTAACAATTCAATTCTTATTTGATCTAGTTAGTTAGGATGATGAGGGGAGGGAGGCCTAAAAAAGATTACTTGGACTTTTAAGACATTTCAATATTAAAGTGGCATATCAGATTTACAACTTTATCCTTTAACCCTCCTTTTCAATTTAACAATGGGGAAGTATCGTGTAAAGTGTATAAAAATGCTTACCATTTCCTTCATTTTCTATGTAGCATAAATCCGCATGTCACTTTTACCAGGAAATCACAATTGAAGTATTTATTTTACTAGAAATTCAGGGCGCTTTGCGCCCTTCTTTCTAGGCTTTTAGGGCGCTTTGTACAGTATAAAACAAAAACAAAAAAAGTTTGCGGATTTCATAATATTTTTTCGCGCATTTTCAAAATTTTACAAAAATAAAAACTTTTAAACACAAATTTTTTAAAATTTCAATCTTTCATAAACCTTCCCTGGGGTCCCTAGGTGTCCCACAAAAAATTTTGGCCCGATCGGTTCAGCCGTTTTGACGTTTATTGGATACAAACAAACAAACAAACAAACAGACACACCCATTCACCCAGACAGACAAGCCAAATTTATACATAGACTAGCCTAAGAGGGCGCTTCGCGCCCATCTTCTAAATTAATTGTGAACATGTTCTCTTTGTGTACATTGTAAAACAAAACAAAAATATATCGCGGATTTTCACACAAAATTTCGTGGATTTTCAAAATTTTCAAAAATTTAATGAAGAAGAAATATTTGAAATTTTGATCATTCATAAACTTTCCCTGGGGTCACGTGATGTCCCACAAAAAATTTGGGCCCGATCGGTTCGGCCGTTTTGACGTTTATTGGATACAAAAAAACAGATTTATGGAAATTTCAATCACTAGAAATTCAAGGCGCTTCGCGCCCTTCTTTTTAGCCTTAGAGGGTCTCTCTTTATTTTAATTTAGTAAAGTATGTGTAAAAATGTTCAGTGGATATTGTTAATCTTGAAAGAATGATCTCGATTCAGTGTTCAGTTTTCAAAGGAGAGGTGGGGTGGGGGAGGGGCTTATCCCTTCCATGTAAACGCCTCATTCTGCAGAATACCTTTTTTTATTTCAGCCCCCGCCAGTTCTAGACTTTGGTGTCAGTCTCATAGAAATCATTCAGAGTTTCCTCAGGAAAACTGTTTGTAAACAATTTTGCAGTAAGCTCCTTTGTGAAAAAGTTGCAGTACACTTCTGCGTTCTGAACAAAGTTAAATCTTCTTTGCGAATTGCAAACAATGTTACAGTACACTTCTTCTTTTTAAACAATGTTGCAGTGCACTTCTTCTTTGTAAACAATGTTGTACACTTCTTCTTTTTAAACAATGTTGCAGTACACTTCTGCGTTCTAAACACAGTTAAAATATAATTCTTCTTTATGAACAATGTTGCTTTACACTTCTTCTTTGTGAACAATGTAACAGTACACTTCTTCTTTGTAAACAATGTAACAGTACATTTCTTCTTTGTGAACAATGTAAGAGGTACATTCTTGTATAAACAATGATACAGTGCATTCATTGTTTTTGAACAATGTTAAAGTACACTTCTTGTTCGTAATCAATGTTCAAGTGCACTTCTAGTTTGTAAACAATGGTGTAACAGTACACTTCTTCTTTGTGAACAATGTAACAGTACACTTCTTCTTAGTGAACAATGTAACAGTACACTTCTTCTTTGTGAACAATGTAAGAGGTACATTCTTGTATAAACAATGATACAGTGCATTCATTGTTTTTGAACAATGTTAAAGTACACTTCTTGTTCGTAATCAATGTTCAAGTGCACTTCTAGTTTGTAAACAATGGTGCAGTACACTTCTTCTATGTAAACAATGTTTCAATAGTACACTTTTTGTTTGTAAAAAATGTTACAGTACACTAAACTTCAGTTTTCCCAAGAATGTAAGGAAAGGAAAGTTAATTGCGGTCGCGTATACTCTAAACACATATTGAAACCAGTTCTCTCTGGGCGGAATTTGTAAACAAGAATAGATGCATCAGTGTTCGTTTAGTATCCCAGGAGGTTTAAAGCATTAAATTTTGATAATTTTGATAATTGACATAATAATTTCCTATGACCAGAATATTTCATTGATTTTTTAATGTGAAAGATGGATCCCATGTCAGGCTTTGACATCCGTCTTGTGTTTACATTAGCGCCCAGAGACAGTACATTGCAGTACAAAAGACGTGTACACTTCTGAAATAACTTTCCTTGCATTACATCCTTGAGTTTTCCGTATATTTGCTACCGGTTGGAATTTTCACAACAAAGGATGGTGTGAGATTCTAGCAAATTGATAAAATCAAGCAGTATTCATACCAAAAAGCTCAAAAGGTTTGTACAGCCTCAAATTTACAATTGTGTGTACTTATAATTTTAGTAACAGAAAAAATATTTAGCGAATTTTAGTCATTAGACATAATTATTAGACAAAATTGTACTGCAATCATATGTTTGTATCATAAATGAATACAAACAAGTTTTTTTGATAGTCCGACGATCTTCTATCTTCTAAATCCAAGATTTAGGCAATCCATTCCAAGCTACTTTAATTTACAGGTACAGGTACAGGTACAGGTACAGGTACAGGTACAGGTACAGGTACAGGTACAGGTACAGGTACAGGTACAGGTACAGGTATAAAAATGTAATCTTTATCTAGATGTTGAGTATTTTCCCCTGGTGCTTTAAACTGTCTTACATGGATTCCCTTCAGAAAGGTAAATTCGTTCAAACATTCATTTTATACTTTATTTAAAGAGAGGTGTGACGGATTCACAACGGTACCCTTGGATCTTTAGCTAGTTCATAATATGAAATAATCATCATTGTGCTAGCTTGAAAATTAATCATTTCTCCGAGTAAAAGTTTGTAACAACTTTTAAAAAAGAAATAATTGATATCTTATTCAAATATGATCTGACAAAGATTTAAAGGGTTCCATCATAAATCGATCATGTAATGCAGGGTCACTTGAAATTACTTCTGCAGTCCCTTTAATAGGACTTTCGACAGAACTATAAGAGACCCTTCAAGTCTAAGAATACCAACGATACAATGATGTGTTTTTGAACAATGAAAATAAACTAAACAATAAAATATACAAACAAATATTTTTTAAATAAAACAATTGACAAGGAAAGACATGTTTCGTGTAGAACTCGACAGAATGTTGCGAATTATTATTTAGCTTTTATGTGCACCTTTGGCTTTAATTGTGTCCCTAATCTCAAAATGCAATCTATGTATATTTTCAATTTTGTAAACACTCCCTTTAAACTCATATTTTTCCACTAGTACTATTGCACATAGATAAATTGCGCATAAGACGACATTTTTCATCTTGAAAGATTTAAATGTACAGTGATGTTTTAAGAATATTCCTATTATATAGATTAACTAGGTCGGTTGTGAACATTGGCTGTTCTTATGTCATTGAGTACTTGTGGTGTACATGAGTTCTGTAGAGAGAAATTTAAGTTAGTTTAGTCCTTCTCATGTCCTTCTTATTGACGAGACAATATGATATATTGCTCAGTGAAATGTTGTTGTTCAAATAGTTCCATTCCCGGAGTTATTTTACATTCTTCTATGTAATTCATTAAAACACCAAACCACCCCGCTTATCATTGAAGTACACTTTGACCCTTAGATGTATGACTTCGCGGACTGTACAAATCTTGGTGATTTTGCGTACATAAGCTATCTATGTTTATTTATTTATCTATGCTATTACACAGTTCACGTTGTTATCACTAATCCTAATCCAGAATAAGAAGCTCTTTTGTAAAAAGATATTTGCAAAATGGAGTCTTATTTTCCTGAAGGCGGGGGAGGGGGGGGGGGATCTGTTAGTGATAGGTGGAGATGATATTTCCTTTCAGAAGATTAATATCCTTGATAAGATTAAAAGCTGGATACATCATCTTATATCAGATTATTCTACTGCGTAGTTGGAAATATTCTGAGAACCAGGGTTTTAAGGTCGCATCCTTTGGGATCATTTTGTAAACAGTATTAAACTATTAAACAGTATTAAACAAGTATTAAACAATTAACTTATATCTTATTATATCTTATAACTTATTATAATCTTTTTTGCTATTAAGGAGAGGAAGTGCCCCCGGATACAGCTGGGGAGAAATTATGGGGAGAAATTCTAGAGAGAGCACAGAGTATACCCCGTCTGCAAAGGTGATTTTTCTGAATAATAAATTCTTTTTTCTCACTTTTTTGATTTGCTATCAATGGTTTTCTTGGTTCCTTGTAAATTCTCAAAAAATAACATCTTAAAAAGGTTTTTTCTTCCCCGCTTACCGTATCATTAAATTAGTAAATATTTTTGCACATTCATATCTATCCACAATATTTTCATTCACAACTTATGAAAAATATAAAAATATGAAATATGAAAAAGAAATTTGAAATATGAAATATGAAACATGATAAAGAAATTTGAAATATGAAATATGAAATATGAAATATGAACTATGAAATATGAAATATGAAATATGAAAAAGAAATATGAAATAAGAAATAAGAAACATGAAAAAGAAATATGAAATATGAAATATGAAAAAGAAATATGAAATATGAAATATGAAACATAAAAAAGAAATATGAAATGTGAAATATGAAATATGAAAAAGAAATATGAAATATGAAATATGAAACATAAAAAAGAAATATGAAATATGAAATATGAAATATGAAATATGAAATATGAAAAAAGAAATATGAAAAATGAAATATTAAACATGAAAACGAAATATGAAAAAATGAAATATGAAACATGAAAAAGAAATATGAATAATAAAATATGAAATATGAAAAAGAAATATGAAATATGAAATATGAAATATGAAATACGAAATATGAAATATGAAATATGAAATATAAAATATGAAATATTAAATATGAAATATGAAATATGAAATATGAAATAAGAAATATGAAATATGAAATATTAAGTTGAAATATGAAATATGAAATATGAAAAAAGAAATATAAAAAACTAGAAATTCAAGGCGCTTCGCGCCCTTCTTTCTAGGCTTTTAGGGCGCATTTTAATTGTGAACATGTTCTTTTTGTTTATAATATGAAATATGAAATATGAAATATGAAATATGAAATATGAAATATGAAATATGAAATATGAAATATGAAATATGAAATATGAAATATGAAAAAAGAAATATGAAAAAAGAAATACAAAATATGAAATATAAAATATGAAATATGAAATATGAAGAATAACTCAATATCAAATTTATAAATGTGTTTAGAGATGATGATGATGAAATGATGTTGGATGATTTCCCAACTCAACCAATCAATCAATCAGGTTTATAAATTATAGAAAATTCATGGTGCTCCTCGGCTCTAACTCCTAACGTTTAGAATAATAATTAAATAAATTCAGATACCACTAAAAGTATAAAAGCTGAAAGGTTGACTAAAATCTTCAATCTAAATTGAAGTAAATAATGTAAGATCGAAGAATACTATTTGTCTAGGGTTTCCGACGAATGAAATTTTTCGCTAAAAAATAAGAAATTTTACGAAAATTTTCTTTCGTATTTTGCGGATTTATCTGGGAAAATGAATTTTGCGAAAGGAAGCGAAAACGATGCAGAATTTCGTGAAATAAACTAAAAAAGTGACAATTTCAATTTCAAAATTTCAAAAAATTTTCGCAATTTATTTTCGAATTTTTTTTGCGAAACAGATTTACAGAAAAAAATCCTTCTGAAACACTTACTTTCCATTTGTTGTCCATAGCGTTAGTCTGATCGCACTCATATTGTATTGACTCTAACACAATTGGTCTCAAAAAGATGGTGGCTCCATGATTTTACCCTTAGAGTTGACATAGGGACTGTACTACCATGTCCTTAATTCAACTTTTCGAGGCCAGCTTATTAAAAAATAACTAGACCTTTAACTTCAATGGTTAAGGTGGAAGAAAGGTTTAAAGAAAAATGTCAAGTACGCCGGAAAATTTTTAGAAACATATATTTTTACTTTTGACAAATATTAACATATTACTACATCTTTTAAGAACTTTTTAATTAGGTGGATTTTAGATCTGTAGCTCAAATAAAATAAAAGTTATTGACTAATTTTGATTGTTTTTAAATACAAATAAAATGTTTCATGTTTTACAGGGAACGGGAAAACAGTTGGGTTCAGTTGCAATCAAAATTATCAGGTTGTAATAAATTTAATAAAGGATAAAATAACATTTTTATTGATTATTTAATTCTAGGGCCCCGGGCCGTGCATTCGAGCTAACGGGCATTCAACTCACTANAAATTAAGAATTAAAATGATGTTAAACTATTATGAATATTTATAGGGACAAAAAGATAAATCTTCAGAAATTTGATTTAGTGGTTAAAACCTTTTAAACTCCTCATCAGATTATACTTTATCATTATAAAAATTTGACAGTTTTTCAGAACTCAAGACTTTTATTTTCAATTAAAAAAAAAATTTTAACAATTGGAATTTTAACTTCAAATATTTAAATGTTTTTTTTTAATAATATATTTGTAGTGGTCGTTGGTTTATTGATCAAAAATCTGGAATGTTTGACATTTTAGCGTACAGAAGAACCCAATGGGTGTCTCAGTAAACATTTGATTTGAAAAATAAATCAACAAAACTTTTGTATGATCCTAAGTTTTCAAAAATGTAGTCTACATCGAGAAAATTTAAACATTTTTTTTAATTCAATGAAAAAAAACTATTAATATCACAATTATTTAAAAAAATATAAATTATGAAAACCATATTTGGGAAATCTCAGAATTAAGGAAATGTAGTGATTTCGATAGTGAATATCGAGATAACAGAAGACGATTTTCTAGTCGTCAATGTTTCCTTATGTTTATTGAAACACTCTGTATATCTAGATAATGTATAAAATATATGTTTAGAATCAATAAAAATAAAACATTAATTTTAATTGCTTTTTAATAAGCCCTGAAAGCATTTCTGGATATTCGAATGGAAAAAATATTTTATTTGTGTTTCAAATTCATTCAACAATTTGGAGAACGTGAAAACCCCCGCAAATAAAAAATAAGAATATTTTTATTTCTTATCAACAGTTTCCCTTACTTGACATGTACGCAGAGGCGGGTTACGGGGAAGGAGGAGGGGGGACGTCCCCCCTGGAAAATTATGAAATTTAGCAGAGAGAACAGGGACCTTAATCATTATCATTAAATACTGTTGAAACCAAAATCAAAATATAAGATCCTGTAAAGCAAAGTCATAATGTTAAATATGAAAAGGAAATTTTAAGTTACTAGGCTTTTAGGGTGCTTCGCGCCCATCTTCTATTTAAATTGTGAACATGTTCTTTTTGTTTACATTTTTTTAAAAAAAGAAGAAAAAACTTTGCGGATTTTAAAAAAAAAATTCGCGGATTTTCAAGAATTTAAATTTTTTTACAAAATTAAAACCCTTTAAAACACATTTTTGAAATTTTTTTATCATTCATAAACCTTCCCTGTGGTCACGTGATGTCCCACAAAAAATGTGGG